AATGTTTTGTTCCTTAAAATACATTCAGAGAAGGAGATTACTCAATTCATTTGCTCTGAGCATTGACTGAAACCAATTACCTGCAGTTTTCAGTTTTTCTAAACTCCACCCTATGCTCTGCATAATCTACTGCCATCAGGGATGAAAGGTCAGGCTCCATAAGTACGCCACCCCCACCTTGGCTCAGGCCAGCCCACCCACCCTAAGGGAAGAAGTGAAAGAATATGATGGAATCAATGGAAATCCATGGAATCTTCTAAGAAAAGAACAAACATATCAGATTGACTTGCTGTGATGTCTTGTTTTATTTATAGAGTTGATTTGATTATTTTTCAACTAAAAAGAAAGCCATACTCATTATAGACAATTGAGAAAAGTAGAAAGAAGAAAAGAATCAATTGGTCTTACTACTTAAAGAAAATGAATGTTCACAGTTTCGGTGAATATACTTCCAGGAACTTTTTCTAGCCATATTTGTATTGGTCAGGATGGACTAGGTTATGGTGCAGTAGCAACAACAACAAACAAATCCCCAGATATGCAAAGTTTAAATCAACATGATTTTATTTCTCATTTGTGCTCTGAGTCTAGCACAAGTCTGTAGAGGGGCCTAGCTCTGGTGACCACTGAGGGGTGTACAGTTGACAGAGCAAATCAACTTCAATACAACTTGGTTGCTGTCCTGGAGGGGAAAAGTTCTAGAGCCTAACACTGATCACCAAATGATCCAATCAGGAAGTGATGGGTAGCACTTCCACTTCCTTGGCCAGAACTGGTCATGTGACTCTACACGACCACAAGGGGCCAGGAAGTCCCAACCTGTGACGTAATTAGACAGAAGTAGGGGAATGAGAAACATCTGAGGAGCAAGGTTAAGAACTACACATTATTGCTGGAGGAGTGTTTTTCTAATTCCAAAAAAATGCATGTTGACAGTAGAACATTTGAGAATCAGTAAAGCATGAAGAAAACAAAAACCGCTTATAGTCCCACCATTCACATGTCACTCCTTCAGGTGTGGAGGGCTATGTTCATTTTCTTCTGTGCTTATATAAAAATAAGAATGTTTAAAGAATATTTGGACCATATTGTACATCCTGCTTTGTAATCCACTATTCCTACTTAATATATCATGTACCGTTTTGTAAAGCATTAAGTATTCTTGTATACCAAACACAGCATTTCATCTTATGTTTTTACACAATTTCCTAATTATTTTATATTTAATTATTTGTTCTATTTATATTTTGTGATTAAATATGTGTGCATGTACATGCATATAAATATGTACACACGCGTATATACATTCGCTTGTTTTCATACATTATTGCATATATATTTGTCTGTATGATTATAAACTGTCTCTAAATGAAGTTTCCAATGGAGAATCTAGTATTTTATTGTGCACATTTTAATAGCGTATTTAATCTTTTTGCCATTTTGGTAGTTTTGAATATTCTACCACCATAAATAATACTTCAGTGAACTTTATTTAAGAAACTTAGAATTATTTAAGGCACTCAGAGTTTTTCAGTGGGCTAGAGTTTGAGGAGGAATATCATGAAATCACATCTTACAGACCTTTTAAGGCACTTGACTAACAACATCTTTGAAGGAAAATGTGTTTGTTTTGAAGAATGAATAACTGAGTGAATTAAATCACAAATGACTTATCAGGTGCTGAGAATTGGCAAAAAAAAAAAAAAAAAAAGTCTGTAAGGGTTCCATTCAGTAAGACCCTTTTGTTGGAGTTGATATTTTTAAAACACCATTTTTAAATTTTGTCCTTACAAGCATCTAGTGAAGGAGGCTTAAAGAATGGAACCGATTTCCAAGTGCTGGCTCCCTGTCAGGTGCAGTGTCGGGAACCTTCTATTTTCTAATGTAATGACCACAATGATTCCATTGGGTGAACTTTAAAAATCGCCATGTTACAGACCAAACAAAGTGGAAGCTCATGATCACAAAGGGGAAGAAACAGAGTTGGAACTCCAACATGGCAGACTCAAATCTATGTCCTTCCTCATAGGATGGCAATTGGCCTAATAGTAACTTGCACAATGGAGAAAGACACCCATGATTAACTAATAAAATGGGTATCATTGTGTAGTTACTTCAGGGAACAAGAGTGATTTGTACTGGAACAGTCAGCTGTAGGGGACTGAGTCATGCCATGATGGTGGGTCAACTCTGTGCACAGAGAGGAAAGCCTTACTCCATATGTTTTATTGCCAGTGAAGTCACACTTTGACCCTCCTTGCACTTTCTTACAGTTGCCACAGGACATTTTGTTCCAAACATAAGCCATCAGCCCCTTAAGCAAACCTTGCCTCCCCTCCATTGCCTTCCCTTACTTGACTGATCTTATACTATCTTATACCTCCATACTATTCTGCACCTTATCCCATCACCAGAGGTTGCAGCACTATTTGGAGACATCTCTCCCTATTTGATGTTATCATTGTCTTAAGCCAGTTTCTGGGACAATCTTTTCTACTGTCAAGGCCAAGCAGTGAGTTAGGAGACCTAGGTCTACATCCCTTACTATCTGGCAGACCTGGAGAAAATCATTTGAGGTCTCTGATGGTCATTTTTCTTATTTGTAGAATGGGAATAATGTTGTTACCCTGCCTGCATGAAGTCTTATAAAACACTTTGTAAATGTAATGTGTTACGCAAATATTACTAGTTTGTAGGTATTTTTTGGTTTAAATTTTAAATTAATAAGTTTGGAGTTAGTGATATGACTGGTGTTTGTGGGTTTTCGGTTTTCTTTTTCCTACAAAGATGAAATTAACTTCAGCAAGTTAATATTCTCCTTTTGAAAAACCCACATGTGCCCAGTTTTCATCTTGCATCCTTTATCCATTCCTCGCCCTTCCGAAATTAACCAGTCTCTTGTCTGTGCCTAGGGACTTGCCTTCCACCTCTCATTTGTGCCACTCAGTGTCAACTCCAGATCTCACAGCATGCCACAGATGCCAATTTACAAGCCAGAGAACTAAACTATCAATTCTTCACTTCAGTTCAAGCTCTGATTCCCCACACTGTAATCTACAGCCATAACTGTATAGCAGCAAAGTACATCACCCTCACAGTCCCCTTCCTGTCAGCTCTGCACAAGTCTGAACTTTTTGGCTTCTCACAACACTGCAAGAGGAAAAGGGCATGGTTGATGGCATGGCTGAAGGTCATGGCTCTGTAGTGTAGCGAGTTTGTCACCACAGTTGAGCTCAACGTTGTTTTTCTTTTTGGATTGGGGAGAAATGAAGGTGAAACTATATGATGAGAAAGTCATTGCACTGGGGATGAGAAACTGGTATCAAAGTCTACCCTTCCCCATCCTCTTTTGCACCAGTTTGGCATCAGTTTTCTAGCCGTGCGTCCTTGGGCAAATCCCTTTACGTCTCCAGATCTTATTTGTTTCACTTGTAAAGTTGGAATATTAGTAAGTGAAAAAAATAATTTCTTGACGTGCTTCTTAAGTAGACTCTACACACATATAAGTACTCAATAACAAAAATTGTATCTCAGGTTTATGCAGTGTGTAGCACAGGTACAAAAAAGTGCATTTTTAAATATATTATCTCAACAAATCCATAAAGTGGTTCATCAGCTAAGAACTTTGCTCATCTGTTAGTAACCAAAATAACAGTGGCTTAAATAATTTAGATGTTATTTTACTTTTATATGACATGAACTCCACACAGCTGCTATGGTGACTCTACATTGACTCAGTGACCCCAAATCATTCATTCCAACTTTCTACTCTGCCATCCGTAGCTCATTACTTCCATCTTCAAGGTTGCCTCGTGGTTGCAAATTGGCTACTGCATCCCTTAGCCGTCATGCCAACATTCTAAGCAGCAAAAGGGGAAATAGGACTGAGATATGGGGGTCAACCTCCAAGACTAGTTGACTCTCTTTAAAAGTTTTTCCCAGAAGCTCCTTTGGATGATGTCCATCTAAATCTCTTTGGCCATCCTTGTCTGCAAGAGAGGCTGAGAAAAGTAGTGTTTGGATGGGCACATTGCTATTCTCAGTAATACCAGGGTTCATTCAGTGAGAATGATTAGTGGGTGTATACTGCATAGGTAACTAGTAGTTTCTGCCTTGTTAGGTACTTTTATACCAACTTTACAGATGAAGAAACTAAGTTAGGCAACTTGTTGAGGTCACATAAAGAGAAAGTTCAAGAGTTAAAATTCAAAATCAGGCTGGATCCAGCACCCCATCTCCTAATCTGTATGCTGCATAAACCAAGGACAATAAGTAGTCAAAAAATCAAGCCTTGACTCCTTGTCTTCCCGTCTCTAGAATGGGATCAGAGTGCTGGCATCATGGGCTGTGGAGGGTTAACTGAGATAACGAATAGGAAGTATCTGAGACCTTGACTGAACATAGCAGATGCTCAATAAACAGGAGTTTCAGATTTGTGATGTTACTCAAGAGTCCTACAAGCTGACACACTTCCCAAGAAACATATAAACTGCTGAAGCCCAAGCAAGACTGTCCAATATCCCTTCTAGCCTGGACTGCCCTGTCAGGTTGTGAATTTCCTAAAAGTAGAGGTTTTACCTGGCACATGGTAGGCCCTGGGTCATAGTTGGTTGATTGACAGACAAAATACTTTGTTTCCTTTTAGGCATTAACACTATGTGACTCTCCACTGTGTATCACTTAGTGGGACAAAGATGGGTGCAAAGAGAGGCCTCATAACCAGGCATGCATATACATACTTGAGTACATGGGCCTGAGTGCACATGTATGTACCTGTGTGTTTGAGCATGGTACTAGGGAAAAGCAACATGAGAAGAAGGGGAGATTCCAAATAGAATTCCAGCTCTCCCTGAAATTCTCAAAATGTATCACTCAAGTTAAAGCATATTCAGATATTAATGAGGTGGATGAGGAAAAAAACATGAACAACACCTATGGTACAAGTGTTAATTATCAAGACACACAGTTATTTTATTTTAAGAAAAAAGAAGCTTCCGTAAATCATCCTGAAAAGCAGAAAGAAAAGAAAAATCACATAATTCTGAGATGTCCACAAGGATACAGAAAAGATTCTTCTACGATACTCTCAATCTGCTTCTGCATGGAGGGATATATTGGTCTAAAATCTATAGCCAGTATTTCCATGTTTATTTATTTAATCGTCTGTCATCATGGTTCCTAGAGTAGAAGCAAAGGAAAAGCAAGGTTGTTGATCTGGTCTACATTTCTTCCCTTTCTTCAGGCTGCCTACCCAGCAGTCCAGACAATGGGTGTAAATCCTTGACCTTGACTAAGAACAGAGAGAGGTTACAAGCCATCGTTCCAAGGTAGACTGCTTGATTCTGGAAGTCAAAGGCCCTAACTCCCACCTTTGAGTTTTCACCCAGGATTGGGTGGCAGAACCCTGTTGTTTCCATTCACATCAAATATGTACCCGCCTCAGAGCCTTTGCATGGGCTGTTCCCTACCTGAAATCCTGTCCCTCCAGTAATTCAGAGGTTAACTCCTTTGCTTCAAACACCTCTCTCTCAAATGTCCCCTCATGGCCCCACCACTCTTTTCTAGCCCTATTCTATTTACACACACACACGCGCGCGCGCGCACACGCTTCTTTTCTTATGTCTCTCCCACTGGGATGTAAACTCCAGGGTGTCAGGATTTTGTTGCAGTTACTACTATATCTCTAGTGTTAGAAGAGTGCCTGACACATAAGTGTCACTCGGTAAATATTTGTTGATGTATGTGTAAATGCTTTGATAAGCACAATTCCCACAGAGAATTAAACTGACTTCAGCCAACTAATTTTACCACATTTCCAGGTCTAAACATCCCAATCCTTCCAATCTTTCAAACTCAGTTTGGGGTGCACCTCTTTCTCAGTCAGGAAAACCTGGTCCTTCTCTAAGACACTCTCCAGCTGTGATAGACAGTCACCACTATTTATGTCATCTCAGTGCTAAAAATGTTCCCATCCCACTCTTCCACTGGACCGCCTTACAGTTAGCCTCCTGGGGGGCTGGTCTGCCTAGAGGTATTGATTTCTTTCTGAGTATGTCTCAGTGTAGACATGGCTGCAGCTCGTTTCTGTATGATCCGCATTGCATCTAGCAGGAAGTTTTAATGGTAGCTCGCATTTATTTAGCATTTGCTATGGGCCAGGTGCCATATAAAGTGCATTACATGCATTAACTTAGTGGCTTTCTTGTTCCTTTTTTAAAAAAGATAAACTGAAAACAAATACATTTTACATTTCAATCTGGTAAATGATATGCATGTATCTGTATGTGTATATAAATGTGTATGTGTGTGTGTGTGTATATATATATCTCCATAGGCATATCTATAGCTATACTAATGCTGAAACCAAAATTTCAAGACAATATTCTCATCTTTCCTATGTGCAGTACATATTGCTATCTTTTATTCTATTTAATTTTTTTAAAAAATGCTAATTGCAATCCAGCAAACCAGGGGTCATCAAACTATGGCCCTTGGACCAAATCCAGTTTGCCACCTGTTTCTGTTAATAAAGTTTTATTGGAATACAACCATACCATACTCATTTGTTTATGCATTAGCTATGGGTGCTTTTGCATTACAAAAGCAGAATTGCAACAGAGACCATCATGGAGGCAAAGTTTAAAATACTCTGGCCCTTTACGAAAGGAGTTTGCCAAAACTTGCATTGAACTGACTTTAGATTCATGAATGGGTTGTGATGTATGGTTCGAAAAACACACTATTTGCTCATCTCATTTTGACAACTGCCCTTTAAGGGAGGTACTATTGTGATCTTCATTTACAAGTGAGCAAACTGAGCAAGAGAGGGAGAAACCTGCCTGGGGACATGTGACTGGCTGGCATCAGAGTGGGTTTGACCTTAGTCAACCTAAAAGCAGAGCCAGTGGCAGTTAACTAAGACAAGATTCTGCTCCTCTCCTGGGATGAGTTTAATAAATATTTGTTGGTCAAAGGAATGCTGCACAAATTATATTTGTAATTTTTAAAAAAATTCTTGCTGGTGGGCTTTGGAAGAAATGTTGGCTTCGTTTTCCACCATATCTCTGAATAAGGGAATGATACCAAAAGCATTTTGAAGAGGATACAATGTAGAAAATCATTTCAGTTTAATTTCTTGTTACCAATATAAGCTCGGCTTATTTCGATGAATTCATTATCAAAACCTGACCTCCTGCATGGAAATATACACACAGGTGCTAGACCAGGAGCTTCAGACATGTCTCCCAATGACTGCTGTTCCTGAGTGATGCCCTTCGGTGGAGGGTGGGTTGTCTGTAGTGACTCTTATCTCATCAGTATCATACAGAGAAGGTGCTGGGATATTATGTCTGAGAGCGCATTGCAGAAGACTATCTCGTCTGTCTCACTCACACTTTCTCCTGACCACTGCTTGCTCATTCACATGAAGTGAGTGCCATATCGTGAGCTGCTCTACAGAGCTACAGAAAGGCCATGGGGGCAAGGGGCTGAGGGAGACCCATAGCATTTGCAGAGGCCCTGAGTGGGGGGATCCAGCCAAGCCGTGCCTGCATTTCTGACCCTATAGAAATACAAGTGTATTATAGATAACACAAGTGTCATTTCCAGTTGCTCAGTTTTGGAATAATTTGTTATGCATCAATAGATAATGAACACACCACACTACTTTGTTATGATTTGTGTTTCTGGAAGCATCATCAATCAACAAATATATCTTCAGCATCTACCTGGTGCTCAGTCCTGTGAAAAGTGGAGCTATTCAGAGTATAAGCTTCCTGCCCTCAGGGAGCATTCGATCTGGTTAGAGAGTAAGATGTCAGAGCTGGACTTTGTGTTCTTAACCACAGTCTAATTGTGGGTCAACTGCTCTTCATCCAAGATTAAGTGGACTGTATTCATTTATTCTCTTCAGTTGAAAGCTGCCTTCTGTAGTTCCCCATGGATTTTCCTGGCCTGAGTCCCATCTTAGCTGTCCAGCTTGGAAACCTGTCGCGAAAGTGGGGAGCAGCCAGCCTTCCCAAAGCATCCTTGGACTTCCTTGGTCCCACACCCCAAAGCCACGCGTGGACTCAAAAGGAGCCATGAGCAAGGCCTGATATTACCACAAATAATCTGGTTTCTGAAAGTCGAAAATGAACCAGATGGCTTTCAAGGAAAACAGGACACACATCGGATTCCAATTATATTAAAATGATGACCCAATTTAGGAAAACACAAAGTGTAATAAAAAAATGTTTAAATAAACAAAATCTGCATATTTATGAAACTATAATATTCGCTGGGCTCCTCACTTTGGATAATGAATTTCTAAACTAGACTGATTGCATTCCAAACTTACACTGACTCCGGGCTTGGAGAAGTCTGCAGCACTGTTTGGAATTGCAGACTATCTGGAGAAAAAAAAAAAAAAAAAAATATTTAGCATGTGTGTCGGCAGCCAATTCAGGAAAAGGAAAGGTCAGCTCTATACAAATGTGATCTATCCGATTCTGATGCAACCAGGAATAGTCAGCGCTCACCCTGCGTTATTGGCTGAGCACTCTGACACCTCTCCCTGGCGGCAGTAGCTGTCACCCGCAAACCTCCACCGCCACTGGCAGACCCGGTGCTGGGCTGGGTTGGCAGGGAGAGCCTCGGATTTATCTATTTATTTTTTCCAGATAAATTAAAAACTCAGGGGGCACTTAAAATAAATTAGCAACTGCTCCTGACGGTGTCTTTCTTGCGGTGTCACACATTTGAAATTTTGGCAAGGACTAAGTTGCCTCACCATCTTTTCCCAGCAAGCGCAAACTGCTAACGGAACAGTGCGCTCGTGTGAACAGGCACGTCGCTGGAGCAGTGATTAACTCAGGAAAGGGTGAGCCAGTGAGTGTCCAGGGTCACCGAAGTGCTTGCAGGGTTACACCGTCTCTGGGGGACCCATGCGAGACTTCATGAGGCCAGGGAAGAAGGCCAGTTTGTTCTTCATTGTACTGAAACGCTGAAACGGGTTTTCAAATGGAATTTCATTTCACCTATCCCAGGAAGCGCATTTCTTTTAATTTTATGCATAGTATTTTTAGAGAAGTACATTTTCTAGATAGGATGATGCATAACTCACCTCTTTCCTTGTAGTGCATACAGTTATTTAATTGGCAGCTATTTACTGAGCCTCCCTTGGACCCAGCAGGTAGGTCACGGCAGTGGCCGAGGATCACGTAACCCTGGTCTTCATGGGGTGTCATCACCGTCTGCAGTGTTGGAGGATGACAGTGATCGCCACACAGCATTGATGGAAACTAAAATCAGCACCTAAGAACCAAAGCAGCAGAGAGAAAGAGCCCGTTCCGAAACCGTTCCGTAGAACTGACGAGGGGAATGTCCAACTTACCAGACCGTGGCCGAAAATGCTAACTCAAGGGGGAGTTTTCTCCCATGAGCAGACCAGCACCCCCGCCTGTCTGCTCCTTCCCATGGGCACTATGGACTCAAGAGAAGGGCAATTTTCTGTGGCTATTATTTCAATTAAATAGCTGCTTTGAGCCTTTATTTCTTATATTAATATCTCTCAAGTAAAAGCAAATGTTTCTTTTCTGGGCCTATGAGAAAAAAATGGTCACTTAGTCTGTATAACATGAAATGAGAAGAAGTTTTCACTCTCCTTTCAAGATGTAATATTCATTTATATCAATCTCCACCTCTCAATAAAATTTTCCACACTCATCCAAGTGAACAAAGAATTAGAAAGATATAAATGTAAGAATCTTTTAAATGCACTGTATTATAGAACACTCATTCTATTATTATATTCCCAAATCATTCCCTTTAGGTGAGTAGCTTTTATTGAAAGGGTCTATTTTTTTTTTTTTTTTTCAGTTAATAAATTTACTGTCAGAAAAGCCCTTCATTACGGGAACCTGTGTAATTTCCTGCCTGGGTATCCATATATAATATAAACCAGGAACTCCTTACTTTTAGGTAATTTTCTTGGAAGCTCCTAATCTTATTACAATATAGCATCTTCCAGAAGATTGTTTTTGATATTTTTAAAGTGTATATTCCTCAGAGTTTTGTTTTTGTTGTTTTTTTTTTACTTCTAAATTGAGGCTTTTTTTTTTTTCTTTTTTCTTTTCTTTTCTTTTTTTGTGTCATGGTAGAGTTGGGGGGAGGTACTAACTGTCTCTTTGCCAGAGTTTAAGTGCAACATTTTTCATTACAATTTAACAAATGTTCTTCTTAAAATAGACTGACAGTGGGTCAAACTGCTTCAGCTTCTCCTCCGCTAACCTAAATGCATTAGAGTTGAGGCTTTTTATACTCAGATCAATGTTACTTCTTATTCTTCGACTTAATTTAGTGTAAGACTAATATGACTATCTCTCCATTTATTTCTCTCTCTCTTTGGCTTTAATAAAATTAGAATTAATTCAATATATGCAATCTCTAGATTTTTTTTTGTCAAGCACAGAAATGCCAAATACAACAATATGCTTTGATTTTTTTTTTTTTTTTTTTTTTTGCCAGTGGTAAACTATTGTACAAAATCATTATATAAATACACAAGAACATCTGGTCTTTTGAACTGTAGTCACTGCTGAATTTAAACATTGTACGTGTTTGACAAAATTAAAGGAGTTTATTCTTTGTTTTTCCTGGGCTTTAAATAGTAAGCCACAAATAGTACTTAGAGTTATTGTTGCTAGTTGATTTTGAATATTATGTGGAGAAACTTATTCTGCATTCCCGCAGACTTTCATATACCTGGGTTCTATAAAATTGGGGTTCAAGGTTATAATGTATCACAATACTTTTCTAAAACAATGACCCAAATCAAATTAAAGGTGGGGGGAACCGCTATTGAATGCTTTTCTCCCATTTTACCGACAACAATTCCTAAATGCCATTAGACAATTAGGGCAATTTTGATATCTTTTGTAAAGTAAACTAATTAAAATTATTACTGCCACTTTTGTAATAAACTCGTGTGACTTTGTAAGTCTGTCCCTGTTCTCTTTCATGATGGAGACATCATACAATCTGTAATTGTGCTATTAAGGAAAAGAGACCTAATCTTTTTGCATTTGAAGTAAGCCTTCATCATCAGCCCAACAAAGCCAGACAGATCAAAAAAGAACCAGAGAGAGCATTTAAGGAAATTAGTACAAGTGTCAGTTAAAAGGTAAAAATTAATGCACTTATTATTGAAATATAGTTGAAACCTACGTTCTTTTCATTTCTTTGATAGTTCGAAGGCATAAAACATTCAATTAACTTTCCATTGTGTTTGGGGGAAAAAAGGCAGAGGATTGTCAGTGAAATGTTAGGGGTGTAGGTGGTGCATCGCGAAAAAAATAGAATAGGATGAGCAGGAGAGAGACCCAGAAGGAACCGCATGGCCCAGGCTGTGAAGACAGAGCTGCTGCAGCCCTTCAGAGCCCACCTGTTTTAGGATTTCAAATGGGCTTTCTACTCTGCTGTTCCATTAAGTCTGGAGATTTAAAACTTAACATGTGCAATTCTTTATTTAAAATCATAGACAACAGATGATTATGGCTATCTGGAGGCTTTGTGAGTAAATTCACCCTCATTCTTCCACGCACTGTGATTATGATGATAACAGTGCATAGAAGAAAGACTGTGAAGACAAGTGACTATTGATGGCTATTGGGATTGTGGGTGGCTATTGGGATTGTGGGATTATGGGATTGCCTTTTTTTTGGGTCAGTTTTCTACTACGATCATGCATTGATGTTACTGTGATCGTAACTAGAAAAGTAAAATAAAGTTGACTTGGGATAAGCCGCAGCATGGGGTGGAAAAGGGAGGATAACTACAAACTTTGGGGTCAGAGTGATTCATGTCTGATGAACAACTCGGCTGCTGATTGCTGTGTGACCTTAAACAAGTAGCTTAACCTCTCTGAGTTAGTATTCCTTTCCTCTGTATAACAGGGAAATGGTTATTTGCTTGGTAAACAGCTGACAAATAATGAAAATGCTTCATCCCAAATGTACATAGCAGACATTCAGCAAATATTAATTTCTTTTGTCCTGACTCTATCCTTTCATCACCCCTTTATGCATGAAAGACAAATTAATTCATATTTTTTGGTTTTCATGATGAGTAGGATCAGTATTCAGTGTAACTCCTTCATGCTGAGTTTACATTAACTCCCTACAATCACCATTGCTTTTAGGGCCAAATGGTTTCTTTGTTTTGCTTTGAAATTTTTGCAAGTTTATTCAGTAGGGAAGATTTACAAGGCTACTCTCAGAACTCCTTAGCTGAACAATCATTATTTGACAATTGCAATTCAAGAATTTTAAAAATTGTATAATGAATCAATCTTACTAAATTGTATGCATGTCAAATTGTGATCAACTTGCTGTGAAAATGTTCTGTAAGAGAAGGCCTAATGTTTAAAGTGAAAATTACTGGGATCACACACACTAATTTGTCTCTATCATTAATGAAACATTGTTTTATTGCCCTGAGAAAAAGACTCATACATATTATTAAACAAATTATAAGAGTAGTACTCTTGAAATGATTTTGCACCATAACACACCAGAAGCAAGAGCTTTGCCTCCATAAATCTTAGTTTATTGCAGGGCACTTTGTAGGTACCTTGTAAGCATGTTAAATGAAAAGAAACAGGCCTGTTTTGTAAAATGTGACCTGTAGTCAGTGTCTGGCTAATTACGTTCTGGAGAAGAACTGCTTCCATCCTAAACAGATAGTTCTTGCGTTCATAAAGGCTACCAGAAAAGGAGGAAACAGAAGTATTAAGAGAAACAATTTTGGGTTTAGAAAAGCCAACTTCTTTGAAGCAAGCTCCCTTTTACCCAAAAATAATATTTGTAAAGTTCAGAAATCCATTTCTAAGGAAAAATCCTCTGCAATATTTGTGCTACTTTCTAGCCAACTCTGCCCTGGCACTTAAAGAAAATAACTCAGTTATAAAATCCCAAATCACTGATGTTGTGATTATTATTCTTATTAATATGCATATGATAGAAGTTAGTGCCAAAATGACAGATTTACGCTTTTGCAAAGGTAATGAATCAAAGTAAGAAGGTAAAAGCCGCTATTACCCTAAAACCTAAAAGTGATAGACTACTCAGTTTTTTTTTCCCCCTGTGCAGATGGCTGATAATGCTGTTTTTCACGGAAACACAGTGGGATTGTAATCAAGAATACAAAACTAGCCACTGAAAGAAAGCATGCACTCTTGTCTTTTGGAACTTTTCTAATTCCAGCTCTGTTCTGAAAGGTGCAAAGACAGAGGATAGCAGTGGTCGGGTGGTTGGCAGGTGTACTGTTAATAGGAAATGAGGAGATATGTAGGAAGACTCAATTTTAAGAATGACCTGACCAACATCAACAGGGAGCAAGAGGAGGAAGGTGTCCTTAAAACAAACAAAAAAATTCTCTGTCCAAACATAAACCCTTATTTTTGGCATCTAGTATCTAAAAGAAATTCATAGAGAATCAGAGAAAAGAGGACAATGGGAATGTGAAGAGAGCCCAAAGACAGGCCGAGAACAAATAATGAACATATGAATCTATCAAATGTTTCGGATGCTCTCTGGTTTGGTGAGTCCTCGCCCATCTGCTACTTCACTGGGTCCTGAATCCAATCCGGTGAGGCTGGCATGATGGGTAATTTTAGATTCTCACTTTAGAGATAAGGGGCCTGAGGCTAAGGGGAGAGAGGAGACATGTCCTCGTCCAAGGTCACCGTGGCTACAGTGTCACAGTCAGTGCCGAGGCGGAGCTGTGCTGTTTCAGGAATTGGCATTTGACTCCTGGGAACCAGAAAGACATTTTTGGAAGCAGCATTAGGGCTCCCAATATAGTTAGTAAACTCTAGCATCAATGCCCCAAATAAGTCCTTTATGGTCTGAAAGATAATTTCAGTTTTTTCCAACCCTCTTTCTGCCTTCCCTGTTACTGGAGGGACCAATAACAGCATTTTCTTATACAGAAGCTTAGAACCTCAGAGGTGAAAGGAACTTGGAGATTTCTAATTCACAAGACCCAGACTGGCAACGCTGACAAAAATCAGCTCCCCAGGCCAAACCAAAGTGTCACATTTTAACTTAACAACAAAAAAGTAAACATGTTTTGTAACCCTCAGGGCTTGGTTGCATTTTTCCAGCCTGTCAAGGCATTTCTGCATATACTCTCTGATTTGACCCACAAAGGCTCAGAGAGAGACCCACCTAGAATGAAATCCACGGCTTTTGCCCTTTGCAGGCTCTGTGACTTGACTTCTCTGTGATTCAGTTTCCTCTTTTGTAAGCTGAAGTTCTACCTCATAGGGTAATGAT